CAAGTGGCGCAACCTGCGCAACAGGCTCAGCCCCTCCTTCACGTCGGGCAAGCTCAAGCTCATGTTCCCCCTCATGCGGGACATTGGCGCCGAGCTCAACGCCCAGGTCGCCGTCGAGGCCAAGAAGACGGACACCCACGAGGTGGAGATCAGCGCGCTGCTCTCTCGCTTCGCCACCGACGTCATCGGGTCGGTCGCGTTCGGCATCCAGTGCAACTGTCTTCGAGACCAACACAACGAATTCCACGAAATGTCCAAAAAGATGTTCAGAACGTCGACCATCCAGTTCCTCCGTTTCATCCTGGAAGGAATTCACCCCAAATTGAGCAAACTCCTTCCCATGAAGTGGATCTTCTCCAACGTACATCGCTTCTTTGTCGACTTGATGAAGGAAACTGTCGAGTACCGCGAGAAGAACAACGTGGAGCGCAACGACTTCGTGCAGCTCATGATGCAGTTGCGAAATGCCGACCTGTACAACGCGGATCCGGAGAACCACATGCAGCTAACCCCCGGCGTGATGGCGGCGCAGGGCTTCATCTTCTTCATCGCCGGCCTCGACAACATCTCCAATACGATCTCCTTCGCGATGAGCAAGCTGTCTACCAACCCGGAGCTGCAGCAGAAGCTGGCCGACGAGGTGCGCGACGTGCTGCGCCAGCACGACGGCGAGCTGTCTTACGCCGCCCTCAAGCAGATGGACCTGCTGGACCGCGTCGTTCAAGAGGCGTTGCGACTGTGGAACCCTATCGGCATGCTCATGCGGAAGTGCAACGCCACTACTCAGGTGGGCGACGTCCTCATCGAGAAGGGGCAGATGGTCTTCATCTTGTCGCAGATGACGGCCCTAGACGAGAACCAGTTCCCGGAGCCGCAGCGCTTCGACCCGGACCGCCACACGCGCGAGGCCAAGGACGCGAGGCACCCATACGCCTTCCTGCCCTTCGGCGAGGGCCCCAGGAACTGCATCGCCGAGCGCTTCGCGCTGCTGGAGATGAAGCTCGCCGTCGCCCTGCTCATCCGAGACTTCGTTTTTAGTCCTGGCTCCAAATATGAGGCTAATGTTGAACTCGACGAAAAGGCGTTTTTCCCAAGGCCGAAGAACGGTTTCCACCTCCAAGTCGCTGCCCGCGTCGCATAAAATGATTGCAGTATCTTTTCTTTTTTTTTTTGTAATTGATAAGATAGGTATGAGTCGGTGGCTTGACGTATTTTTATACGGATGTCGTATATTGTGAACGATAAGCTAGTGTGTTTGTCGATTTGAGCATTGTGTATGATTTCTGTATGTGTAAAAAGTAAAATCTTAAAATGATATTTATTGATGAAAGGACTCACGATACACTTCACAGATCAGACCAAAGGTTTGCCTCTACTATTTTTATACCGTAAATGTATTAATCTTGTTATTTTATACTTTGTGTGCGTTTTATTATGTGTGT